ATTTGAACCAAATAATTTTATTTTACTTTGATTTGGTTTAAATTAATTTTTTGGTAATTATTTAAACCAAAAGTAATTTTTGAGACATTCATTTGATTCAAATGGACTTTTTTGGTATTTATTTGAACCAAATAATTGTAGTTTCATTTTATTTGGTTCAAATTAATTTTTTTTTATTTATTTGAAACAAATAATTTTAGTTTTATTTTATTTGGTTAAAAAACAATTTTAGTTGTTCAAAAAATATTTATTTACTTGCAGTAAATTTTATTTAGTTCAAATAAATTTTAGTTGGTTCAAATAAATTTTAGTTGGTTCAAATTAATTTTATTTGGTATGTATTTGGTTTTAAATGAATTTGTTCGGTATTTACCAAATAATTTTATGTAGTATTTACTTGGTTCAAATTTATTTATTTTGTATTTATTTCAACCAAATAAATTAATTTTGTATTTATTTGGTTCAAATTAATTTTATTTGGTAATTATCTGTACCAACTAATTTTATTTGGTATTTATTTTTCTCGAAGAAATTTTATTTTGTTCAAAATAATTTTTTGGGTATTTATTTAAACTAAAATTAATTTTTTTGAGATTCATTTGATTCAAATGGACTTTTTTGGTGTTTATTTGAACTAAATAATTGTAGTTTTATTTTATTTGGTTCAAATAAATTTTAGTTGATCAAAAAATATTTATTTACTTGAAGTAAATTTTATTTAGTTTAAAAAATTTTATTTAGTTTGAAAAATTTTAATTGGTTCAAACCATTTTTATTCGGTATTTATTTGGTTTAAAATTAATTTTATTTAGTATTTATTTGGTTTCAAATTAATTTCATTTAGTATTTATTTGGTTCATATTAATTTTTTCGGTATTTATTTGAACCAAATTATTTTATTTAGTATTTATTTGGTTCAAATTATTTTATTTAGTATTTATTTGGTTCAAATTAATTTATTTTGTAATTATTTGAACCAAATAATTTTACTTTGTATTTATTTGGCTCAAATTAATTTTTTGATAATTATTTGAATCAAATAATTGTAGTCTCATTTTATTTAGCTCAAATTAATTTTTTTTCTATTTATTTGAAACAAATAATTTTAGTTTTATTTGCTTAAAAAAAAATTTGATTTCGTTCAAGTTCATTTTATTTAGTTCCTATGAATTTTAATTGTTACAAATTAAATAAATTTTAAATTTAAATAAAATTTAAATAAATTTTAGTTGGTTCAAAAAAACCTTATTTATGACGAGTAAAGTTTATTTACTTCAAATAAATTTTAGTTAGCTCAAATAAATTTTAGTTGGTGCAAAAAAATTTTATTTGATTCAATTAGGAATTTTATTTGCTTCGAATAAAATTTTTACTCAAAGAAAATAAATAATTTAGTTCGCTCTCAGAAAAAAATATTTTTATGTAACTAAAATTATATTTGGTTTAAATAAAATTTTTCTCTGGATGTAGTAAATAATTATCTACACGTAAAAAAAAATTTATCTTGAACAGTTAAAAATTTCGTTATATTAGCAAAAATTTTAATTTGAGTCAGTTAAGACTTTCGCTATTCATGAGAAACTTATTCTTGTTCTAAGTGAAATTTTTTTTATCAAATTTTCAGTGAATAATTTTTTTTTTTTTGAAATAAATTGTTGAATTTCGACTTTTTTCAAGCTTTCGTATAAAATATCGAATTGACATGAGTTCCTTAAGTTACAAACTCGAGGTTCCTATGCAACAAGCAAGTACCGCTATTGTGGACGACATACGGGTTTCTGCGTTGATCTGGGTACGACGCTCTCGTAAAAATTATCTACCTCGCACGTGACATGGCACAACATGGGCGTAAGAATGAAATTTGTTATAAAGCTCTTTGGTTCTTTTTTCTCATGACATTTCATGTCACAGGGGTACCAAACTGTTAATAATGAGATGAGAAAATTACTTTTCAATATTATCTACCAGAATATATGATAATATTACGTTTATTATTATTCATATTAAAATAAAATTTTATTTACCTCCAATTTTTTATCTGCTTTAAATAAACTTCATTTTTTTTGTTTCGAGTAAATTTTATTTACTTAGAAATTAGAATAAATTTTATTTGACTGAAAAAATTGTATTTGAATCGAATTTTTTTGTCAAATAAAATTTTTACTTGAAACAAATAAAATATTTATTTAATTATTGAAAAAAAGGAAGAAATAAATAATTTAAAATTAATAATTAGTTATCAGTCTTACACTGTCATGTAATAATTATGATAATTATAAAACTGTTTTCTATCATTTAAGAATAATAATGTTCATTTAAATTTTAAATATTTAAAAAAGACGTTAATAAATAATCAGAAATCGATAAATACTTACAAATCTTATATTTTCATGTTTTTTGATGTTTTAAATAAATTCCACTTATGTAAAGAGAATAATTAATTTAATTAATTAGGTAATTAACAAAAATTAAATTTTTATTATTTTTTTTTAAATTAGAAAATATTCAATTTTCAACTATTTTATTGAATTTATTTTTTATTTTTGCGAATTCTCAATGAAAATGGCAAAATATAAGAAAACATATTAAAGTAAAATCTTGATAAAATTGAAAAACTAATTTAAATGAATTAAAAAAAGGAAATATTTCGAAAAATCTCATAAATAATATTGCGAATTTATTGTGAAAATTGTTGTCCTTCTGTGTATCATTCTCGAGTGTGAAAATTGCGGCAATTTCTATGTGAAATTAGAATAAAAATATTCACACGAATTTACTTTGTGAAAAAGGAAGTGAAACAAGTTTATGAAAAGATATTAAAAGCGTAAATTTAAAGGGAAATTTTCTTCAATTATAATTCAGTGGGAAAAAAAAATTATTTTTATTCAAATAACCTACTTGTCAATTATCAAATTTATTTTTTTTACTAAGTATTTAACATTTAATTCAATTATTATTGAATATGAATTTTATTATTATTATTATTATTATTATTATTATTATTATTATTATTTTATTATTAAACAATGAAATTTATTTTTTTTTAATTAATACTTATTTGAATCAAATAATTTTCTGTAAATCAATTAAATAGTTTTTGCATCGAATAATAAAATATTTAGTTCTAAAAAATTTACTTCTAAAAATATTTAATCTCTAAATTTGAATGAGTAAAAAACTTTATTAAAATTTGAATTCACGACTGACTTTTTGCTTTTCAATTAGTAAATTCCACTAATAAATTAGTAGAAATTACTGTTACATAAATTGGTTAATTAGAATTAATTAATTAATTAATTGTTACTTAGAATTAGTAAATTTTGCTAATAAATTAGTAGATATTACTACTTATTAGTAAATTTTACAAATAAATTAGTAGAATTCACTATATTTATTAGAAAATTTACTATTTTTATTTTTATTCACTAATAGTAATTAATTATAATATAATAATAATTTATTTATTTATTAATAAATTAGTAAAAATGTTTACTAATTTTTTAGTAAAATTAACTAATAAATGTTGATTTCTACTAATTTATTTGTAACATCTACTAATAAGTAGTAATTTTTACTAATTTATTAGTAAAATTTATTAATTCTAATTAACTATTAGTTAATAATTAATTAATTATTAATTAACTCTAATTTAGAGAGTTGAGTTAAATACAATTTATTTGATTTAAATAATAAATAGGATTTGAATTTATTTATTTCAACATTATTTTTCAAAATATCAAATTTTAGTTAATAATTAATTAATTATTAATTAATTCTAATTTAGAGAGTTGGTTTAAATACAATTTATTTGATTCAAATAACAAATAGGATTTGAATTTATTTATTTTAACATTATTTTTCGAAATAACAAATTTTTATTTAAATCGATTACATAATCTTTAAATTTGAATTAGTAAAAATGTTTACTAATTTTAATTAGTGAATATGACTTTTTGCTTTTGAATTAGTAAATTTTACTAATAAGTAGTAAAATAAAATAATAAAATTTAAAATAGTTAAATTAATAATAACTAATTTTAAATAGTGAATATGACTTTTTGCTTTTAAATTAGTAAATTTTACTAATAAATAATGATTTTTACTAATTTATTAGTAAAATTTAATAATTTAAAAGAAAAAAGTCAGTCACTAATTTAAATTAGTAAACATTTTTACTAATTCAAATTTAAAAAAGTAGTATTTGATTTAAATAATAAATATTTGATCTAAGTAAATATTTATTTGCTATTAGACGAATTATTGATTGTTCGAATCAAATAATTTTTTTTTCAGTGAATTATTCTAAACCCGCAGAATTATTTGAAAAATTTACACTGTTTTCTTAAAAGTGTTAAATTAATACTAAACTATGAATCAAATTAATACAAAAAAATTTTGATTAAATAAATAGAAAAAATTTTGTAAAAAAAAACAAAAAAAATTAATTAATTAATTAATTTTTAAATTATGATTTAATCAACATTTTTAGCATCAAATGGTTGCCATTTAGTTAGTAGGGTAATAAATAAAAAAAAATCCACATTTTTACTATCAAAAATCGTTAATTACTTTTCAAAGGAAATTTTTTTTTTTTTCGTTGATACTTTTCAGTTAGCAGCATAAAAAAATTAGTCACTTTTCGTTAAATTTACCCCAACTTATAATATTCCAAACATCATTTTTCTCCCCCGTTTTCTTTTTTCTCAATATTTTCTCCCCCATAAATTAAATCAAAGAAAAATACAACCAATGTTTATTCTCGAGGACCTTTGACAATATTTTCCGAAAGTAAGCTATATTTTTTATGTCCATGGTGTATTTTTGTAATATATAGAAGTCGAGAAACTAAATTATTATAGATTTTTTTTTTTTTTCACCCTCTACGGGCGGGTATATAGACAAAGTTTTGTTGTATATAAGACTGAAGTTGTTACAGATACAGGTTTTCTGTTGACCTTGAGACTGAATATCATCGCATGCACAACACAGAGTCTTCTTACCTTGACAGATACTGGCAAGAGCAAACCGGCGACTAGGACGAATAATGATTTACAATCAGATTTCGCCACATATCATCCCCAAAGTTCTCTGCTGATTATTTCCTCTCCAATCCACTGATGTGTGCTTTATTTCTCTTCTCTCGTCCCCTTTTTTTTCACTTCCGTTCGTTTTCACAGAAAAGAAAAATTAACACTTGTTCCCAATCATCAGAATTTTGTTTTCTCGATTTTTCCTTTTTTTTTTTGTTTGGTTCTCGAACCGAACAAGTTACAACAAGTACAAGTTGTTTTAATTTTTAATCTGTTGATGATGACAGTTCGCAGCACGATTTTCGACACTTGGGGACTTGTTGGGAAACGAATCGGAAAATTGTTTTGAAACGTGTACGAAACTTGTTGGGAACGAAACGGAAAATTGTTTGGAATGATTCGAAACTTGTTCGAAACGGTACGAAACGGTACGAAACGGTACGAAACGGTACGAAACTTGTTGGGAACAGTACAAAACTTGTTGGGAACAGTACGAAAATTATTTGGAATGATTCGAGTCGGGGACAATTCGAAACTTGTTCGGAACGATTCGGTACAATTCGAAACTTATTTTCAAACAATTCGGAACTTGTTTGGAACAATTTAGAACGGGTTGAAACTTGTCCGAAACAGTATTTTCGGAAATAATAACCGAACCTTGAGAGGAACAAGGAAACACAAATTGAAACTAGTTCGAAACTGGTTCGAAAGTCGATTTTCGCTGGTTCGGGACTTGTTCGAATGGGATTATTTTTTTGACAGGTGGTAAATTTCCTGGAGGTACCGAACTTGTTTTGTTTATTTTGTTTTTTTTTTTTTTGGTGGCGAATAGTGGAGAATAAATAAGGGGGGAATAAGTGGGCCCGGTGCTGGGACCGGGTGGAATCCGACTGATCGTCTCGGTGCGGGTCGAGGACGATGGATGATCGGCAGGCACTGAGGCGAAGGTAACAGTCGATTCTGCAGCGCCTCTGTTCTAGTCGAGCACGAGCAGCACGAAACGTATCGGCGATCGCATCGCGTACCACATCCCCGAGGAAAACTGCCCGTCTAGACTCTAGACTATCGAGCCGTTAAGACAGCATTCCAAGATGGTAGGTAGGTCTTCCTAAAATATAGAGACTTTAGCAGCTGCTCGAGGCGAGGTGGTGGCAATGACCGTTCTCTTGGTTTCCCCCTACCTGGTTGTCGCCACAAGTCACTCGGAGTGGTTCCACACTCAGTGCTTCTTCTCAAGACTGCCTGCCTACCTGTCCTCTCTTCTCTCCTTCTCCTTCTTCTTTTTTTTTTCAAGAATCATCACAGAGTGCTTCTTGCTGTCATCTTGTCTTCCTTTCTCTTCTCTTCTTTTCTTTTATCTTCTTTATTCTCTCTTTCTTCCTCTTTAACCTTCTTTTTCCTCTCTTTTTTCTCTTTTTTCTCTTTTCTCCTCTTTTCTATTCTTTTCTTCTCTTTTCTTCTTGTTTCTCCTCTTTTCTTCCCTTTCTTCTTGTTTCTCCTATTTTCTATTCTTTTCTATTCTTTTCTTCTCTTTTCTTCTTATTTCTCCTCTTTTCTTCTCTTTTCTTCTTGTTTCTCCTATTTTCTATTCTTTTCTTCTCTTTTCTTCTTGTTTCTCCTCTTTTCTTCCCTTTCTTCTCTTTTCTCTTATTTTCTATTCTTTTCTTCTCTTTTCTTCTGATTTCTCCTCTTTTCTTCTCTTTTCTTCTTGTTTCTCCTCTTTTCTTCCCTTTCTTCTTGTTTCTCCTATTTTCTATTCTTTTTTCTCTTTTCCTCTTGTTTCTCCTCTTTTATCCTCCCTTTTTTTCTTGTTTCTCCTCTTTTCTTTCCTTTCTTCTTGTTTCTCCTCTTTTCTTTCCTTTTCTTCTCGTTTCTCCTCTTTTCTTCCCTTCTCTCCTCGTTTCTTTTTGTTTCTCCTCTTTTCTTCCCTTTGCTTCAGGGTTTCTCCCCTTTTCTTCCCTATATTGTGTATCGTTTCAAACTAAAAAAAAAGTAGTTAAAAAGTAGCTATCGAAAGATTAAACTTGACGACCAAAAAAAAAAAAACTCGTTTTAGACACTTTTCACAAAACTGACGAAATTTCCATTCTGTATATTTTTTATCTTCCTGACTTTTTCCTAATTATATCATCAAAAATATTCACTTCTTTCTTATTCTGATAATAAATTTGAATTTCTGCAACGAATTTTATTATTCACGAAAAAAAATTTGTGAAAGATTCATTTCTTTTAACTAATTTTATGCAAATTCCAATTTAAATAATTGAATTCATGAGAAATTTTTATTGTTCATGAAAAGAATTCAATTCTTACAAAGATTTTTTTAAAAAAAGAATTTTTAAATAATTAAATTCTGTTTGGAAATTATATCAAAATAGTAGACATTGAAAATTGAATAATTGAATGCCTGTGTAGTATTCTGTATTTTATTAAATTTTTCTTGAAAATAATTGAATTTCTAAAAAGCATTTTATTATTTATGAAAATAATTGAATTCTTGCGAACGATTTTATTATAATTTTTTAAAATAATTGAATTTCCAGGAAGAAATTTATTAAATTTAAAAATAATTCAATTGACGTGATGAATAAATTGTTATTTATGAAAAAAAATTGAATTTTGCAAAGAATTTTATTAACATGCCTCAAAATAATTGAATTTTAGGGAATAATTTTGTTAGTTATCGACATAATTGATTTATTTCGAAGAAATATTTATGTAAATAATATTGAATTATTGTTGAGAAGAATTTTATTAAAATCTACAAGAATAATTGAATTATTTCAAAAAAATTTAATTATATAATTGTATTTAAAATATAATTGATTTCTTTCGAACAAATTTATTATAATTTTGAAAACAATTGAATTCCTGGAAAAATATCTACTATATTTATAAATAAATGAATTCTTCCAAATAATTTTTAAAAAAAACATTTTTTTTTTTAAATAATTGATTTTTTCGAGAAATTGAAATTAAATTTTTATGAATAATTACATTTTTGAGTAATACTTGTAAAATTGTTTTTTCAAAAATAAATGAATTCCTTTAGAAGAATTTTATTATTTATGAAAATAATTGAATTATTGCGAAAAATTTTATTAAAATGTTTAAAAGGAATTGAATTTCTGTGAAAAATTTTGTTATTTTTGAAAATAATTGAATTTTCCATAAGAATTTTATAAACATTGTTTGAAATAAATAATTTTTTGGAAATATAATAAATAATATGAAAATTTTATTTGTGAGGATAATTGAATTTTTTTTATTAATTAATTTAAAATAGTATTACAAATAATATTGAATGACTGTGTGGTATTTTATTAAATTTTGTTTTTGAAAATAATTGAATTCCTAAAAAGCATTTTATTATTTATGAATAGAATTAAATCCTTGCGAACGATTTTATTAGAATTATTTAAAATAATTGAATTTACAGGAAGAAATTTATTACTTTTAAAAATAATTGAATTTTTGTGATTGATATTGTTATTTATAAAAATAATTGAATTTTGCATAGAATTTTATTAAAAAGACTTAAAATAATTGAATTTTTGGAGATACTTTTTTTAATTATCAACATAATTGACTTCTTTTGAAGAAATATTTATGTAAATAATTGAATTCTTGGGAATAATTTTATTAAAATCTAAAAGAATCTAATAGATAGAATCTAATATTTTTGTAAATAATTAAATTCTTCCAAAGAATTTTAAAAAAACATTTTTTTAAATAATTGATTTTTTCGAGGAATTGAAATTAGATTTTTAAGAATAATTACATTTTTTTGAGCAATTCCTGTAAAATTGTATTCAAAATAATTGTAATCCTTCCAATTTTATTTGTGAAAATAATTGAATGGTTGCTAAGAATTTTATTAAAATTTTCAAAAATAATTGAATTATTGTGGAAAATTTGCTTTGTGAGAATAATTGAATTTTTTTATTTATTAATTTAAAATAGTATTCCAAATATAATTGAAATTATTTGATGGTTTTTATTATTTATGAAAATAATTGAATTGTTGCTTAGAATTTTATTAAAAATTCTTTTAAAATTTTTAATAATTGAATTTCCATGAAAAATGTTATTATTAGTGAAAGTAATTGAATTATTTTGAAGAATTGTATAAAATTTTTGTTAAATAATTGATTTTTTCGAAATTTTTTTTGAAAATATTTTAAATTAATTGAATTTTTGTGGAAATTTTATTATTTATGAAAGTAATTAAATTTTGGATGAATTATATCAATTTTTTTTTTAAATAATTGAATTCTTCTGCGAAATTTTATGAAAATACTAGATATTGGAAATAATTGAATTTCGAATATTTTTTTGAAAATAATTGAATCGTTTTAAAGAATTTGATTATAATTTTTGAGAATAGGTTTTTAATTTCTAGTATTGGCAAATTTAAAATATAGTGGAAATTGTAAAAAAAAAAAGAAAAATAGTAGCTTTTAGTGGCAATGACAAAAACATTAAAAATCCTGAAATTTTCTCCCCTTTTTCCTTTTCCTACTTCCCCTACACTTTATTTTTGCTCACTTCAGTTTCATTGCTCCTTTCTTTGCATTCGCCTCTTGGCAATCTTGTTCATTCTTCTCGTCATTTCGTATAAAGTCAAGAAGACTCACTTCTTCTATCTTTTGTGTATAATATGTACGACTACTGTATTCTTTCCTTGGTTTCACCTCGACCTAAAATGGGACTAAAATCGATTGACTAAATTCGCAATATATGGATATGAAAAATTTGCGCTAAGGTGCTTTTAGAGATGAATATAATTTTAAATCCATAGCGCAAAAATAGTGGCGATTTTTTATCTATTGTCACTGTCAAATTAAAAATCGAAAAAGAAGAACTTATTTACGAGTAATATTTATTAGTTTTTAATTATTATTCTTTTGTAATTACACTGAAAAAAAAAATTTATTTGACACAAGTAACCAATTTCTTGTCTATTATCAAATAAACATTTACTTGAATCAAATAATTTTTATTTGAGTCAAATAAACATTTACTTGAATCAAATAATTTTTTTCCAATTCAAATAAATTGTATTTGAACCAATAATTTCAGTATTTAAAGGAAATATGAAGTGAACCATTAAATTGACTCAAATAAAAATTATTTAATTCAAGTAAGTATCGAAATGATAATAATAAAGTTGATAATTGATAAAAGTCAAGTAATCGGTTATTTAAATCAAATAAATTTTTTTTTCAGCGGAGGTGACAAAAAGAAGGTTTAGATATAAAACATTGTTTCTATACAAACAAATACCAATTAAAAGTGACGATTTTGTAAATTTAACAGAAAAACAATTTGTGTTGGTAATTAAAATTTTCAGCGGAATTCTGATGGAATCTCGCAGTACTTCGAAGGGGGGAAATTTTTTTTCAAAGATTATAAAAGTTCTTGTATAAACTTTTTCTTGTAAAAATTTTTTCAAAGGAAAAGTTATTTTGAAAGAAAGAAAAAATTGAACTAAAAATAAACTCTTTTAATTCCCGTTACTTACTTTTTTTATAATAACAAATATAAAGCAAAAAAAAAATAATATTAGAACCAGAGAAATTAATTTATTTCAACCAAATTTATTTTTTTTACAGTTTTTTTTTTTATTTTTCAGTTTCAAAAGCCCTTGTTATGAAACTGAAGCCTTTTTAAAAATTAAAATCCCCTTTTTTACCTTATAGACAAAAATAATTTATTTATTTATATAAATATTTCCCGGTGACCACAAGGTCCGCATCCCTGAACTAAATAATGAAGTATACATATTTATAAATAAAATAAATAAAAGTGAATAAAAAAAAAATGGAAAAAATAAAATAAAAATAAAAAAAAGTTGATTTAATATTCGGAAGAGTATATATCCACCTTTTCAATTATGAAATTCGGGGGTAATCCTTATAATATATGAAGAGAAAATTGATTATACTATCTTGTCCTTCTGTACTACAATTGGCTATTAAAAACTTACGAAACTTATATAATGATATATGATATTTTTTAACAGGGATTTAATATTGTAGGTCATGATGGCCAATAAATAATTTATGAACACAGCAGGATACTCTCTTATTAATATAATTTTTCTCATACTCCAATTCCAACCCTTTTTGCTTTCTCGCCCAAAGTTTTCTCTCGCACAAATCCGCCAACACTATTTTTATCTATATATATATATATACACCCACTCGAGAAAAGCTTTTCCCTTCTTAGTCTCAATTCGTCTAATGCAAAATGTACTTTAGCTTCTACACCATTTTTCATAAATACTCTCTTGCATTTCTCATTTATATATACTTTAGTGTGAAATGTATAAAGTGTATAAATTATAAAATATTCAAAATGCATATTTCTTTAAGGAAAATTAAATTCGACAGTCGTATAATAAACAAAACTTTCAGTGAAACTTGAAAGTTGAAACTCAAAAAAAAAATTAAATTAAATAAAACAATAAATAGAATTATTATTATTATTATTTATTATTATTTATTCAATTTTAATAAAATTTCATTTTAATTAAAATTTATTTAATTTAATAAATTTTAATTTAAATTGAAAGAATTCAATTATTTTTTTAAATAGTAAAATCTTTACAAAAATTCAATTATTTTGAAAACAATTTTAATTGAATTCCTCGGAAGAATTCAATTTAAAAAAAAAAAAAATTTAACACATTCCCAAAAAAATTCAATTTTTTTTCTAAAATTTTAATAAATCCTTCGAAAAAATTCAAATATTTTTATAAACAGTAAAATTCTTCGCAGGAATTGAATTAATTTTATAAATTGTAAAATTCTTTGCAGGAATTCAATTATTTTTAAAACAATTTTAATTGAATTCCTCTGATGAATTCAAATATTTTTAAATATTTCCATAAATTTCAATTATTTCCTAAAATTTTAATAAATTTTTCGAAACAATTCAACTATTTTTATAAATATTAAAATTCTTTGTAGGAATTAAATAATTTTTAATCTAATTTAAATATAAAATTACACGAAAGAATTTAATTACTTTCAAAAATTTCCATAACATTCAATTTAAACAAGAATTTTAAATTCTCTTAAAAATAATTCAATTATTCTCAAAATATTATTAAAAAAATCTACATATATAAAAATTGAATTACTTTTAATGCAATTTTCCAATATATTCGTCAAAAAAATTCTATTATTTTCAAAAAATAAAAAAATTCTTGTGATGAATTCAATTATTTTGAATAATACTTAATTTTAATAAAATTCTTTAAAGAAATTAAATTATTTTCGAAACAACTTTAATAGAATTCCTCGAAAGAATTTAAATTTTCAAATATTAACATAAAATTCATTTATTTTCTATAAAATTTTAATAAATTCTTCGGAACAATTCAATTATTTTTATAAATAGTAAAATTCTTCGCTAGAATTTTATTATTTTAAATCCAATTTTAATAAAATTCTTCTTTATAAAATTCAACTGCTTTCAAAATTTTCAATTAAAATTATTCGATATTCAAAAAAAAATGTCTTATTATATTTATTTACAAATTTCTTTAATTGTAAAAATATTCGATAATATGAATAACTTCTTTTTTAAGTAAATATTTAATCATTATTATTTTTCCGTAGGAATTAAAATTTTTCAAAAAATAAAAATTTAAACCTTTTTGAAATTCAATAAAATCCTTCGCAAGAATTGAATTATTTTTTCAAGTATAGTAAAATTTCTCAATTTTTATTAGAAAATTCTAGAAGAATTCAATTATTTAAATTGAAAAATAAATAATTTATTGAATAATTGAATATTTGTTAAAATTGAACTCTCATAAAAAATTTTATCAACAAATTTTTAAATAATTGAGGAATTCGTTTAAAATTGTATCAAAAATAATTAACATCCTGCGTTGAGTTTTATTATTTATGAAAATAATAAAATTCCTGAGAACAGTTTTATTATTTTATAAAAAATAATTGAATTATTGAGAAGAAATTTCTAAAAAAAATTATAAATAATTGAAATCCTGGGAAATTTTTATTATTTATAAAAATAATTGAATGCTTCCAACGAATTTTATTCAAGTTTATGAAAATAACTGAATTTCTGTGAAGAATTTTATTATTTATGTATATAAATAATTGAATTCTTGCAACGAATTTTATTCAAGTTTATAAAAATAATTGAATTTCGGTGATGAATTTTATTATTTATAAAAATAATTGAATTCTTGAAATGAGAACGTTATTATTTTTTTTTTTAAATAGTTGAATTCTAAATAATTCTTGCGACGAATTTTATTAAAGTTTTTAAAAATAATTGAATTTTGACGAGAATTTAAAAAAAATTTTTGAAAATAATTGAATTTCGAAGAAGAATTTTATTATTTATAAAGATAATTGTAATTTTGACGTGAATTTACAAAAGACTTACTTCAAATGTTTATATTATAAATTATTATTCATAATAAAGTAAAAATGAAGGAGTGAAAATGAATTGTTAAAAAATTAAATACATTGAATTCCCGTAAAATTAAAAATATAATAAAACCGTAGGAAGTTTAATGAAAACATATTTCTTAGAAAAAGAAACTAGAAAAAATGTTAAATATTTAAAATTTAAATAATAGAAAATTAATTTTTTAATAATAGCTAATTTAGTTTTAATTTAATTTTCCAAATTCCTTTTTATAATGAAGCAAAGACTTGTTATGAAAATGTGGGTGAAACATTTTTTAGGATTGAAAAAACCATAATATTGAGAATTTATGAAAATTGTTAATATCAGTTGAAAATAAAAATTATGATTACAATGTTTTACAGTATATTAAAAAATTCAACCATTATGATTGGTCGTATTGTGTTCGAGGTCATAAATTACACTGCGTAAAAATGCATATATTTCTGATAAATTTTTTATATATGTAGTACAATTTATTTTTATACATTTTTCAGTTTTTTTCAAATTATAAGCGCAAATAAGAAATAATGTGTTTTAACAGCAAATTTCAAATTTTTGTATTTTTATAAGTGAAAGGAAAAATTTAAAATATATACCTACGCTTAGTTATTAAAAGGTTTTTTTTTGTTTCGAATAAATAATATTAAAACATTTTTCCTTAAATAGAAATATAAAGAGGAGAAATTATTAAAAAATATAAAAAAAAAATTGATAAAAATATTCCATTTCGTAAATTAATAAATAATTTATATTGTTATTTTTTTGTCATAATGGTCTTACTTTTTAAGTAATATTTTTTTAAATCAATACACAAACAAAAGCTCTTTTAGGTTTTAACTTGAAAAAAAATTGTGAAATTCAAAACCTCTTGAAATGGACGCAATCAAAAGTGAATAAGATACATTTTAAAACAATGTGCAACAAGTGTCTGCGTTATACACAATGTACAGTGCATATATCCCTCTGTCGGTAAAGTTTAAATGATTTTATCCAGCAAACTTTTTATAACGCTGACAAAATTTACCCCATGGAATATTAAGTTTGTCAATTTCATAATCAAATTTAAATCGAAAGTTCAATTTCAAGTTTTAATCAAACTAGATTTTGTTCTTACAATTTATTTATTTCAATTTTATTGGAAAATAGTTTTTTTCTATAAATTAAAAAATTTATTTTAAACTATAAATACTTTCAAATATTTTTTTATTACTTTATTTTTTAATTTCTGTATAGTAATTTTTGCAAAAATTAAAAAGGAAAAAAATGTCCTTTATTTGAACGTTCAGAAACAAAACTTTGTTCTTTTAGTTTATTTATTTATATAAATTTTATTAGAAAATAGCTTTGAGTATAAATTAAAAAATTAATTTTTAACTCAATACTTTAATTTTAATTATTTTTTTTAAGTTTTTTATTTTTTTAGTTTTAATCAAACTAGATTTTGTTCTTTCAATTTATTTATTTGAATTTTATTAAAAAATACTTTTTTTGTATAAATTAGAAAATTAATTGAGTAAATACTTTAATTTTTATTATTTATTTTTTATAGTTATAGTTTTAATTAAACTAGATTTTTTTCTTTCAATTTATTAATTTGAATTTTATTAAAAAATAGTTTTTTTTTGGGTAAATTAAAAAAAATAATTAACTAAATACTGTAAATTTTAGTATTTTTTTATTACTTTATTTTTTATTTCAGTAAAGTAATTTTTGCAAACATTAAAAAGAAAAAAAAATGGGAGAATTTTTTATTTAAAAACCAGGAGAATTATTTTCTAATTGAATTTAGATTTTATAAAATTTTAATTATAATTCAATTATAGAAGAGAAATTATAAAAGAATAGTTTGGAAATAGTTTTTCAAATATGAAAATATTAATTTTAGTATGAAAATACTTTTTCGATTATGAAAATATTTATAGTATGAAAATAGTTTTTTAAATATGACATTCTAATATAAAAATAGTGTTTCAAATATTTATTTCAATGTTCAATAACTCTAAGACTAATTATTTTCTAACGGAATTTATTTCCATTTTAATTACAATTCAATTATATGGAAAGTTCTTTGAAAAATATCGAATAAAATAATAATGTAAATTTTTTTATTTGAAATAATAAGTAAATTTGAAAAATAGATACATTTTCTCTCGTACGTTGTAAAATAGTGACTTGATATTTTGTATATGTATAAAAAGAAGGGAGAGAATCTCGACTTTATAGGAAAGTACCCAATGGCTTTAGGCGCATTATAAACTGCGAATTTTTCTTTTCTTTTTTTTAATAACAAAAATAATGTGTGCATCGTGTGTGTATTTTTTTTAGAAGAGAATAAAACTAAAGATGGTAAAATAATTTTTTCAATATATGATTTTTATGACAGGAAAAATTACTGTATCAATATCAGGAATGATGCGGTATTATTTTGTATACGTATTTTACATCATAGGGTGGAGAGTGGGTAAATACTCTAACCCTTCTGATAATTTTATCTTTAGAAAACTTTACCAATATCGTAAATTTTGATAAAATTTAACGAAAAAAATGATAAATTTTTATGCTCAAACTTGATCCGAATTACACTTTTCAAGAGAGAGAGAGTGAGAGTGAGAGTGAGAGGACATTTTTGAACTTTTTGGAGATAAAATTTATTATTATTATTACTTTAGTAATTGTTGTCATAATTCGTTTTTATTTACACTTAATTCGTTAAAAAGGCTACTAATAATTAAGGAAATAAATAAGAAATTACTAATTACTAAATAAGGAATTAAATTACAATAGTATTTTACATATCGGTTTATTTAGTGAAAGAATTAATTCTAAGACTAAAAAAAATTAAAGACAAAAATTTCGATAAGAAAGGAAATTAAAAATTTAAATTGATTTATATTAATTTCCAAACTCTCTTAATTCATATTCTGATTATAAATAATAATAGAATTGTAAATATTAACGAACATTTTGAGATTCAATATGGAGATGCTGTTCTCCACCTGCGAACGCCAAGGTCACCGCTAGATGGCACTTTAGTTCTTTCTTGGAATTTCTCTTGACACCTGGTGGTGACCTTGGCGTTCTCAAGTGGAGAAATTAAACCGCACTTTTATTTCTCAAAACCTTTTTTATAATTAATAAAATGTAAAAATTTTTTTCTTTAATTCTTTTAACTAAATATATAATATCATGTTTGTCTCACAGTAAAACTTAGAAATTTTTATTTTTATTTATTTTATTAATTTTTTTAGTTAAAAATTAATAAAATCTCATAAAAAATATTAAATTGTGCATATTCTTCCCTTTTCTTTTTTTTCAAGGAAAAAATTGTTCCTGAGAACAGTTTTATTATTTATAAAAATTTTAAAATAATTGAATTATTGCGAAGAAATTTCTAAAAAATTTGTAAATAATTGAAATCCGGGGGAATTTTCATATTATTTATAAAAATAATTGAATTCTCCTAATGAATTTTATTCAAGTTTATAAAAATAACTGAATTTCTGTGAAGAATAATTTTATTATTTATATAAATAATTGAATTCTTGCAACGAATTTTATTCAAGTTTTTATAAAAATAATTGAATTTCGGTGATGAATTTTATTATTTATAAAAATAATTGAATTCTTGAAATAAGAACGTCGTTAAATGTTTTTTAAATAGTTGAATTCTCGCGACGAATTTTATTGAATTTTTTAAAAATAATTGAATTTCAAAGAAGAATTTTATTATTTATAAAGATAATTGTAATTTTGACGCGAATTTTTAAAAAAAATTTTGAAAATAATTGAATTTCGAAGAAGAATTTTATTATTTATAAAGATAATTGTAATTTTGACGAGAAGTTAAAAACAATTTTTGATTTTAATATTTTATTAATTTTTTAATTAAAAATTAATAAAATCTCCTAAAAAATATTAAATTGTGTTATATTCTTCCTTTTTCTCTTTTTTCAAAAAAAAACTTACAAAACTTGTCATTTTTTTGTAAGTTGGAAAATTTTTCAATTCTATTGAAAAGAAAAATTTCTCCTTTTTGCAAAGTTTAGAAAAATTTAAGTTTTTTGAAACTCTAAATATGAATTAGTAAAAATGTTTACTAATTTGAATTAGTGACTAACTTTTTACTTTTGAATTAGTAAATTTGATTCCTAATAAATAGATATTTCTATTAATTTATTAATAAATTTTTATAATTAACTAATTCAAATTATGAACATTTTATATCTATAATAATAATAAATATACAAAAATATAAAATAATAAACTTTTTATAACCGTTTATAATTTAAAATCAGAAGAAAATAAAAAATTTTTTCCAATTCAAATTTAGAGAGAACTTGAAAATTTTTTATATTATTTTCTTAGAGTTGTATAAAATTTTTTAATTTTTTTCGAACGTGGTACAATTTGTTATAAAATTTATTATTTTCAGAGGAAATTTTACAAACTCTAAAATAAATTTTTTTCGGAAATAGTAAAAGTTATTCTAGAAGTAATAATTTTTAATAGTAAATTTTACTACATTTTTAATAGTAAATTTTACTATATTTTTAGAAAAAATTTTACCAAATCCAAAGTAAATTTTACTCATTTTTAGTGAAATTTACTTCGAATTTAGTAAAATAATAAACATTTTGATTAAAAATTTAGAAAAATTGTAGACTTCGCAAAGAGATTAAAAAAATACTATTTTTCCACAGGAATTAAGACATTTAAAAATTTGAAATTAAACAACTTATAATAATTTAAAATAATTTAAAATTTATAAAAATAATTGAATTATTGTGAAGAAATTTATAAAAAGTTGTTAATAATTGAATTCCTGTGGAATTTTTATTATTTTTTGAAAATAATTAAATGTTTGTGTATCATTTTATTAAATTTTTTTTAAGTAATTAAATTCTTTTCGGAAAATTTTATTAAAATATATCTTGTCTACATATTTATTGAAAATAATTAAAATTAGGACAAGAATTTTATTGGCATTTTTTGGAAATAATTGAACTTTGGGGGAAAATTTTTTTTATTTACAAAGATAATTGTGATTTTGACAAGAATTTTTTTTTAATTTTGAACATAATTGAATTTTTTGAGAAGATAATTAATTGAAAAATTAATTAAATTAATAATTAATAATTAATAATAATTTAATAATTAATCAAATTAATTGAATTTTATTACTTTTGAAAATAATTGAATTTCTGTGCAATTATTTATATAATTTCTCCAAAATTGAATTTTTGTAGTGTTTTCGACAAAAATTGTTGAATTAAAAATTTTTAAATTCTATTTTTTTTTAAATTGCTATTAAAAAATGAAGTAAAAAGTTAGTTTCGAAAAGTAAATTTTGAAAAAATGAATAATTCGTTATTATTGTATTTACTTACGAAATTTTTTTTTTTTTTTTTTTTTTTATTCGAAAATTAAATTTTCGAGACAATTAATAATTTATTAAACATAATTTTGAAAAAACGAGTATAATTCGTTTACAGTTTCGAATTAAATTATTACAGTCCACACTGATGATTAACTACACACATGTTCCGTTAGATAAAAATGATTAGCCAGTTACAAATCCACTTTGTACCAAGTATTTTATTTATCACTTTGCTTTAAATTTAATACTCCTGAAATAGTTTTATTATCTTTTTTTTTATCGAATAACAGTTTTCTCGCGGCTAAAATTATTCTCAAAAGATATTTATATACATATTTATACCTACAGTAAGGTGAGAAAAATAATTTTGTTTATCAAATAAATTAAAATTAAATTAAAATCGCGAATTCGTAAATTAACGATTCTTAAAATCATTTAAAATTAAATTTAAATTAAATTAAACGATTTTTTAGTCATTTAATTTAATAATTGACGAAAAAATTTTTGATAATTAAATATTTATTGCCGGGGGAAAAAAAATTCGAATTAAACAGTTTTTAGAGGATTCATTTCGTATTTTCAAGAATTATTTTTCTTAAAAAGAAAGAAAACGAGGGGAATTATAATTTTATATAAATAAACTCGTGAATTTATTTTATTTTGTTCTTTTTTTTTTTTTTTTTTTTTTTTTTGTTGCTTCTTCTGGATACTTAAGCTTCCTGTGAAAATTTCAATGATGACGATTTCGCTTCTTTTGGTCGCAGGCAAATCACACGGATTTACCTTTGCAGACGAAGGTTGTACCGGGAATCAAGGATTGGCTGCGCAAAGTTTGCGCGCCTAAAGGGGTGTGCGTCGGAGGGTGCTAGTTTCTGGGTTGGATATATATGGATGGTACGCGAAGCAATTCGTCTCATCGTTATATCCGCAACTAGACGAGTCTGGTTTAACTTTATAAACCAAGTTAGTTGGATACGTTTCTTCGGTTCTCAAATTTTTATCCAGTTTCTTTTTTTTAAATCCAAAAGTAACCATCATCATCTCTATTATTAAAAGCGTCTCAATTTTATTGTAAGTGCTTCAAAAAAAAATTTTTTTTTTCGTTTTTTCTTTTATACTCTTGCGGTAAGTGATAAAAAGTTTGAAAGATTTTTTTTGGATTAAATAAATAAATTTTTTTTATTACTGAATAAATCCGTTTTTTATAACTTGATAAATTTATTTTAATAAATAAATTTGGTTAAAAAATAAATTTATTTTTATTAATAAATTTATTTTAATAAATAAATTTGTTTAAAATAAATTTCATTTTAATAATAAATTTATTTTTAAAAAATTTATTAACAAATTTATTAACAAAAATTTATTTTAAAAAAATTTATTAACAAATTTATTTTAAAAAAATTTATTAACAAATTTATTTTAAAAAAATTTATTAACAAATTTATTTTAAAAAAATTTATTAATAAATTTATTTTTAAAAAATTTATTAATAAATAACTTATTTTGTTAATAAATTGATTTAAAAAATAAATTTATTTTGTTGAAAAAAATAATATTTTCTCAAAAAATTTATTTACTTTTAATCTGAAATTAATGGAGACAATTTTGATAAGCAAAATAATATTTTTTCTTTAGAAATTTACTATTTTGTCGAAAGTTGAAACGAGAAGAACTTTTGAATTGGAAATTATTAATTGAATAAATTCTCAATTAAACGGAAATTTATCTAAATAAACACCTAAATAATCGTAACAAAAATTAAAGTGATATTTTAAACTAAAAAATCTTTAAATTAAAAAATTTTTAACCGAAAATAACTGAAGACATTTTTAACTGATGAAAACTGATGAAAACTGATGAAATTTCTAAATAAAAGAAGTAAGAACTGAATAAAATTGAAATTATTAATAAATTTTTAAATTAAAAATTAAAATAATAAACGATAATTAAAGAATAATTAAAATAAAAATAAATTGTTAAAATAAAACTAAACAAAATTCAAATAAATAAAAATTCAAATCATAAATTCGAAATAAACAAAATTCGAATAAATTAAAAATAAAATGATAAAGAATTCGACTAAATAGAAAATTTATTTACTTTTAATCTGAAATTATTGGAAACAATTTTTTTTTGATAAGCAAAATAAGAAATTTAGAAATTTACTATTTAGTCGAAAGTTGAACGAAAAGAACTTTTGAATAGGAAATTGTTAATTATATGAATAAATTCTCAATTAAACGTAAATTTATCTAAATAAATTCCTAAATAAACGAAACAAAAAAATTGAAACAATGCTTTGAAAAAAAAAAATTTTTAATTAAAAATTTTGAAAAATTTTTAACCGAAAATAACTGAAGACAGTTTTAACTTTCAATTGATGAAAACTGAGGAAATTCTTAAATGAAAGGCGTAAGAACTGAATGAAATCGAAATTTTAAGTAAACTTTTGAAAATTAAAAATTAAAATAATTAAACTATAATTAATCAATAATTAAAATAAAAATAAATTATTATAATAAAATTGAAAAATTAATAATAAAAAATTCAAATAAATAACAAATAAAATCACAAAGAATTCGAATAAATAACAAATAAAATCATAAAGAATTCAAAATTAAAATAATAAAGAATTTAAATAAATAAAATAATAAAAAATTCGAAGAAATAAAATCTTTAAAAATTCGAATAAAGAAAAAATGAAATTATAAAGAATTCGAATAAAGAAAAAATAAAATCATGAAAAATTCGAATAAAGAAAAAATAAAATCAGGAAGAATTAAAATAAATAACAAATAAAATCATAAATAATATAAAAAATAAAATAATAAAGAATTTAAGTAAAAAAAGAATAAAATCATCAATCGAATAAAGAAAAAATAAAATCATAAAGAATTTGAATGAATAAAAAAATAAAATAATAAAGAATTCAAATAATAAATAAAATAAAATGTGAAATGAATTTGAAAAAATTCTTAATTTTGAAAATTTTCAAGAAATCCTCTAGATAAATAAATTTAAAATTAAAATAAACAAAATAATTCTTTTTTAACAAGTGAAAAGTTTTTGTCATTAAAAAAATGTGTAACGAAAAAAATTTTCGTTTCGAAAAATATAATTAATTTTTTATTACTGCCCGGAAATGGAGCGATACGATTATAAAACGCCTAAAAGCACCTGCACGTGTCGTGTATTAAAAATTTGATTTAAATTACTCTTCTGGATTGATTTTCGAAAAATTATTCATCAATTGATTATAAAATTTCTAATTAAATTCTTTATTATTAATGATTATTTTTTTCAATTATGGAATTTATCTAAAGAAGTTAATTTTTATGAAAACTTTACAAATTTATAATTATTTATAATATTTATTATATAATAATATAATAATATAATTATTAACAATTAAGAATAATTCTAATTGTTGATAATAATTGTATTTAATAATAATTGACAATTAATTTGTATTTACGAATAAAAATGCACTTTTCTGATTTTATTATAAATTAAAATCAAAATTTATTTATTTAAATCTTTATATTTTATATGAATTAGAAAATATTAGAAAATATTCTATATATTAGAAAATAAACAAAAAATCTATAATAAAAAATAATAAGAAATAAAAATTCTATAAAAATATGAAGATAACGATCACTCCGAGTCTTCGACTCGTAGTTATCTTCATATTTTTATAATTATTAAAAGACGTCCGAGTGATAAAATCATTATTTAAAAAAAAATCTATAAATTATTATTATAAAATTTTTTGTGAAATTAGCAAAAAAAATCTTTGTTTTTCATATGATATTTTTGTATCATAAATAAAAATCTTCTTCTTGAATATTGAGGATGGAGAAAAAAATTTATCATTATTTTTTAATTTAAAAAAGAAGTTAATAAAAATTCGTTACGCGTATCCGCTAAACAAATTTTTCGTATAAAGCATTATGAGAACATTAAAAGGTCAAATAAGTTTTAGAAAGTACGTGCATCTTAATTCATTATTTTTCATTAAAACTTATGAGTATAGTATAGATACATGTATGAGAACATTGTGGATGTTGGTGAGTTTTCATTGTTAAATAGTGCCCTCAAAACTTTTTGAAGATCATTATTTTACCAATTTACAATTTCTAAATAGGAAAGTTTTGAAACTTTGGTATTTTACTTAGTCAAGTAATTAGGAGCCGGTCTTCAATTTTGTTCTCGTTTTTTTAAATAAATCTTTGGTTGTGCTTTAAAACAATGCTCATCATCTTATTTTTTTCTCTTCTTCTTTTTTTTCTCTTTTTTATTTTTTTCGTTTTTCTTTTTTATTCTTATTTTCTTTTTTCTTTTTTTTCTTGTTTTCTTTTTTTTTTTCTTTTTTTTCGTTTTTTTCTTATTTTCTTTTTTCGTTTTCATTTTTTCTTTTTTTCCTCTTTTTTTTCTTATTTTCGTGCTATGCAGTTAACAAAAAATTTTTTTGCAACTATTTGTTTAATTTTAATAATTAAAAATCAATAAAATCGTGTTATTCAATTAATTTTATGGACAAGTGCAAAAACAAAAATAAAGTTAGAAAATTGTGAGAAATAACTAAAGTAATACAAATTTAATTAAGTGGTTCAAGTAGAATTGAAGTGGTTTTCAAATAATGAATATATTTTCCCATATATATAGATGTGCGTGAAATCATTAATTTCTCGATAATGCAAAAGTTCGAGGATTTCATTCATTTTGTTAAATTAGTTAAATTTATTTATAAATATTTTTTTTTTCTATAAAAATATTTTTTTTTCTATTTAGACAATTTTATAGTTTTTTTTTATTTGTATTTTTAATTTCTATTTTCTATTTTAATTTATATTTTTATTTAAATTTGTTTATTGATTTTATAAACATTATCATGTCATTAAAATTCGGAATATTCAAGGGAACGAAATTTATTTATTTCTTTTTCAAGTTAAAAATTTTCTTGCAATAATATTTTGTTTTATATTCAAAAAATAAATTATAAAGATTCGAAATTATTATAAATTATAAGATTTAATATAAATTTGCATAATTTATTTTCTATTTTATTTCTTTCTTTTCTATTTTTCAAAAAATATTTTTTTATACCAGAAAATTAAGAAAAATAAAAAAAATTTCAAGTTCATTTTTTTCTTATTTGTTAAAAATTTATATAATTAGAAAATATGGTGAAAATGTGGTATTACGTCAAGTTAGCATTGAATAAATCATATAATTTTTATTTCATTTTTAATGGGGATCTTTCACAAGTCAGAAGAATTTCATCAAGAATGAGAGAAATTCATTTTTCATTGTACGATTTTCTTATTAATAGAGTCGCTAATTTATTAATTTTATATTACCAAAAGAAAGCAGTGGATCTAAGTTTTCTTTTGTATCAATTGTCAGAAATTGATAACGTAATAAATTAATGACGAAAATATCAAACTTTAAAGAAAAGTGACATTTTTCTCTTTTTTTGAACTTATGATTTTTTTTCTTAAACAAAAAAATTAATTGACATTAATTAAAATTATTTATGAAACAATTATTAAAAAGAATTAATGTTAATAGTGTATTTAAATTTATTTGTTTAGAAACAATGACAAAATAAATAAAAATTTATTATTTGGAAAAATTGATAAAATATCATTGAAGAAAAAGAAGAATAATTTTAAATTAAAATTTACAAATTTTTTGAAATTGAAGTAAAATAGTGACAAATTTTTATTTATTTCTAATTCGAATTAAAATTAAAATCCTAAAAATAAAATAAAAAATAAAAAATAAAAAATAAAAAAAAATAAAAATAAAAATAAAAATAAAAATAAAAATAAAAATAAAAATAAAAATAAAAAAATCAGAATTTAAAAATTTATTTAAAAAACTTAAAGAAAACGTTAAAATAAAATTAAAATGGAATGGAATAAAAATCAAAAGAAACATTAGAAATTAGTAAAAACTCCTCGTTACTTATTTCGGGGGGAAAAAAAGAGAAACTAAACCAAATTGAGCGGAAAATCGAATAATTAATAAATATTCATTGCCCTCGAGACTGCAGTTTTATA